AAACCAAACCATCAACATTTACGCATTAGTTTCTTCTCATCTCTCCATCACTTTGTCAAAGGAACGTGTTTGTCATCTCAGTCCTCCCCAAAATTGTGGTCTGGTGAAAACTTTTTCCTTTTCAAAGCTGTTATCAGGGAGAGAAATTGGTGATTTGTAGAAGAAGAGAGAAAGAAGAAAGAAGCAAAGAGGAGGAAAGAAGTGAGGAAAGATAAATCCAGATGATCTCATTTCCTAAAGGTTCTCTTTCCTTACCCTAAAAATATGTAGAATTTTGCTGTAGAGGGGCCCTGTTCTGGAGACCCATCTATGGTGGGTTCAGGTAAGCTATGTCCAGCATTAGCAAGGCTCACTGTGGGCTAATAAAAGCCACTTTTGGGGTATTCCCATCAAAAGTCTGAATAACCTGAATCTAGTCATGAAGAAACATGAAAAAGCCAAATAAAGAGATATTCTAGAAAATAGCTTGCCTGTACGTTTCAAGAATATCAATGCCATGAAACACAAGGAAAGACTCAGGAACTGTTCCAGGTAGAAGGAGACTAAAGAAACAGGACAGTTAAAAGCAAGGTATAATCTGAGATTTTGAGTCGCTATAAGGATACCAATGGGCAACTGATGGAATCTTAATAAAATCTATGGATTGGTAACAGTATTGTATCAGTGTCAATTTCCTGATTTTGATTATTATACAGTGGTAAGTAAGAGAATGTTTTTGCTCATAGAAAATACACAGTAGGGGCACCTGGGTGGCTCAGTCAGTTAAGTATCTGCCTTCAGCTAAGATCACGCTCTCAGGGTCCTGGGATTGAACCCCTCAGCTGGCTCCCTGCTCAACAGGGAATCTGCTTCTCCATCTCCCTCTGCCCCTCCCCCCCTCATACTCTCTCTCTCTCTCTCTTTCTGTCTCTCTCACTCTCTCTCTTGCTTTGCTCTCTCTCTATCAAATAAATAAATAAAATCTTAAAAAAGAAAGAAAATACACAGTAAAGCACTCTGTGGGAAAGGATAGATATCATGCCAACAATTACTCCCAAATGAAAAAGCCTAGGAAGGATAAAGAAAACGTGATAAAATGTTAATATTTGGGAAATCTAGGCGAAAGGGGGGTGTTCAGAAATTCTTGGTACTAGTTTTGGAAGTTTTCTGTAAGTCTGAATTGAGAGAGAGATAGAGTTGAATATGAGTAAATGATCTAAGGAATTCTGATCTTCAAGTCATTACATCGTAAATCCCTAATGGCATAAATACTGAGATTCCACAAGAGCTGTTTTTAGAAGAACAAACCATGGGATAATTCTTTAAGGCCTCTATTTGCTTCTGACAGAGAGTGAGTATTAAGCCATGAGTTTAAATTGAAAAGATGTGAGGTATCAAAATAATTTCTCACTCCCATTCCTCAATCTAGTTCTCCTGAAATATAAAATGTCAAACAAAAGTGTGACAAGTTGAATATATTTCAAATATTTAATTTGCTAGCATATTGACTTCAGATCAGTTGGATTTATGATTAAGTTGGATTTTTTATGTTTGCTTATGTTAAAATGCACTGGAAATTTATGTAAACAAAGAACATCTAATGATGTTTATTTAATAGGAAGTCTATAAGAAAAGAGAGTATAGTGTGTAATGGGGAGGAAAGAGCATTCCATGGAGAATCAGGAATTACTATTTAACTAGTTTTATGACTTTGGACAAGCTTCACCTTGCCTGGAAAATAAGCAGTTTCGAATGTTTTAAGAATAGCTAATGTTTACTGGGCTCTCACTACAAGTTGAACACTTTATTTGAACCTAAATAATCCTGAATTGCATTTAAGTAACAACATTCTAACACTTGTAAAATAGATAGGGCTCTTATTTTAAATGATTATAGAAATGTATCCTTGTGGCACCTTTTCCTTTACAACAGTTCTTGGCCATAGCTGTGATGTACTGATGTTCCTGCTTAGGAAGGAACGGTCCTGTGTGCTCGTGACCTGGGGAATGAAGAGAGGACTTGCCTCTGTGTCCCAACACAGAGATCCATGGCCTCCACTCTGGGAGTGCTCACCCAATGGCTTTGGAAATGGATTCCTTCTTCTCAAAGCCTGTGTCCAGACAGCCTCCCCACACTCACCCTCCAGCTGCAATCCCAGCCTCCCATCCCCAGAGGCCCTCTCTGTGTAGCAGTCTCGTTTCCCTGCTCCTTTACTTTGGTGCTCTGTACCTGCTGGGCCCCGGAGCTTCCTGAGGGCAGGTACCCAGTCTGCAGGCCCAGGGTGACCTGCACACACTGGGTGCTCACTTGGTACGGGAAGTACTGGGGGAGGACTAATTTAAGAACACAAACCAAACCACTGTAACTAAATCAACACAGCGTTTCCTGGAACAGAAGTTAAGAGACAGTGGCCATAACCTCACAAAGAGCTCCAAACTTCACCCTAACCTGGGGGAAATCGAGATTAAGGAGTAAGAAACCTTCCCCTTCACCTTCATTTCAAGCCACATCCCATCAATTCTGATGTCTCAGGCATAGTCACGGCCAGGCCTAGACCTTGGACCTGCCCAGTTGTTTGATCTTGCCTCTCACTTTCAGCTGCTGGGTTTGAGAACCAAGTAGGAGAGAGAGATTTCCACTTCCTCTGCTCCTGCTCACCTGCTTACTCTCGTCTCAAATGCATTTGGGGGGCGGGGTTATACTCCTTGAGTGTACATGTATTGTGCCCCATCTGGAATGCATGGTTACCCCCAGTCTCCATAGCAAACTTGCACTTCTTTGAAAATGAACCCAAGCAGTCACTTCCTCTCCAAGGCACACTCCTACACTCCTCCCACATTGTGTGCACACTCTTCCTCCATGATAGAAAAGATTGCATTGTGCTATAATGGTGTGGTGTGTCTGTATTCCACGCCAGAATCCACAAACACTTTGAGATTGATAAGCACGTCAGTCATCCCCGTGTCTCCGGGACTTAGCACCATGCCTAGCTGTTCGTAAGCCATGGGGTGGGACTGAAAAAGGGGAACAGCCTTCATATCTGGAGTCTGAAGCCTTCTGGTTGGTCAGAGGTCAACCTGAGGACACTAGAAACAAAAGACCAATGGAGTTTGACCTTGCCCATTTGTGCGGGTCAATTACTAAAGGTGAAGTGGCCTCAGCAGCAGTAGCTGTGAAGGAATGGGCTTTGAATCATTCCCTGTGGGTATAAAGGCACCCAATCCTTTCATTTAAAAGCTAAGTATACTTAATTGGCCCACACAGAAAACAACACAGGAAATCAAGCTTCAGTTCAGTCTCGATTCCAAACCAACCGCAATTTCAAAACAGTGCAGATTCTGGTGGAGATTGAGAAAGCAAAACTTCTTTGTTTAGCCAGCAGCTAAGACTGCTTTTGCTCAATTCTCTTCCAAAGCACCGATATCTTTTATCTTCCATAGGAGTTCCTTAAGGGCAGGACTATTTTGGGGACAAATCTCTACCTTGCTATTTTTGTCTCCCCACCAGAATCTTCCAAAGCACAGTGCCTGGCCCCAGGAGGCACTTAATATATGATTATTAAATGAATTCATTAAAAATTCTGGTCTTGGGGCTCCTGGCTGGCTCAGTTGGTAGAGCATGTGATGCTTAATCTCGAGGTTGTAAGTTAGAACTCCACATTGAGTGTAGAGATTACTTAAAAATAAAATCTTAAGGGGCGCCTGAGTGACTCAGTTGGTTAAACGTCCGATTCTTGGTTTCAGCTCAGGTCATGATCTCAGGATTGTGGGATAGAGCCCTGCATCTGGCTCCATGCTCAGTGCCTGCTTAAGATTCTCTCCCTCTGCTCCTCCACCCCGCCCCCACTTGCACTCTCTCTCTCTCTCAAATGAATAAATACAATCTTTTTTAAAATCTAAAAAAAATAAAATAAAAAATCTGGTCTTTATTTTTAAATTCATGGCTCAATGGCCCCTGAGGTGCTTTGGGAATCTAGAGCCCTTGGTGACGTTGCCATCCCTCATTGTTAGGTTGGTAAGTAATGGTCCTTGAGGGCCGTCCTCTCCCCCTAGGGCATAATCAGTTGAGATTCCTGCAGGTATTAGAAAGAGAAAGCTCTGGTTTAGTGTTTCCTTTGGTCTCCTGACCTCTAGTAATGACTATGGTGGTCACAGAAAGCCAGGACCAAAGCTTGACTTTGACTTTCTGAGTCCATGAGACCCCAGTCGCTAGTTACAGGGCATGAATTAGAAATCATTACAATATCAAATTTTGTTGGTTGGTGTATGTCACGTTATATTTATCAATATTTATGTTTTGTATACCAAGGACAAGTTTATTCAGCAGAATAAACCACAATGTTCTTCCTACTGTTTGAAAACAATCAATCTAAGCATCTCTTAGGGGTGTTCAGCTTTTACCTCTTGATATACAGGCAGTGGGCATGCCCTGTGTTCCTGACTCTGAACTGGGTGTTGTCATTTGTAACTGTCCTTCTATTTAGTGGCTCTGAGGAATCACAGTGAGAGTCATGAAAACTGATTGAATTAAGAACTGCCATCTCCCAACTGCCTCTCTAAATGGCTCTGGCAGTTGGTTCTCTCCTCACTCTAAAATCACAAGATCAGTCTTCTAAGAGACCTAACTAAGTATGTATGAAATCTCCCCAACGTCATGTCCCACAGAAGGCTCCAGGCATCAGAAATGACTACACACAGAAATTCAAGTTCTGAAACAATTTAAGCTCATGAATGCCCTGACCCAAAGAGGTATCAGATAACGGGAACCTGGTTAGTGAAAAGTCTTTTCAGTCATCCCCGTGTCTCTGGGACTTAGCACCATGCCTAGCATGGTGCTAAGCACCCTTTTGAGGGGTGCCAGGATCTTGATCTTTTTACTTTCCTGCACTAAATATTTGTGAAATAGCAGTTGCAGGAGATTTTAGACTTACTGAAGAGGTGTACGGACAATCCTAAGACACCCTATCCCACATAATATGATTCAGGTCTTGTCAAGCCAGATTAAAATGTCACCAAGCTTACCTTTCGCAGGCACTCTTCCTCAGTTCTTTAGGCAAGATCAGTGATTATCCTTGAGATGGTCACAACAAGACTGGTAACACGGATGTCCGGGGCTATTTGTGTAAAAGGAGAAGTGAAGGGAAAATAAATGTGCTCACACTGTGACAACAGGAAGCCCAGTTGACGAGAGGGAGGAAGTGAGGCTCGGCCTGCTCTCTTTAACCTTAGAGATGCAATCCTTCCCCTGTGGCTTTTTAGACACCTACTCCCATGCCCACCCAAATACATAAACTTGTTTCTATGAAACACAAGAAAAGTCAAAGACCTCTTCCAGGCACTCATCCGTGAGCCCTGGTGCATTCTGAGGTGATTTCAGTTTTGATTTCTGTCTAGAAAAAGTCAGTGCTTCTCAGTCAAGATGGCACCTCGAAATTATGTGTGGATCTGTTCAAGAATAAGTATGCCTGGGCCCCGTTTGGTAGACAGAAACTGGAGTGGAACCCAAGAATAATTATTTTTAAAAGTTTTCTAGGACTGAGACAGGAATGTCTCTCAAGCCACTCGGCCTTCTCCCCACCCTCTTTCCAGCTGCCTTCCAGAAGATCTCTCGTTTCCTGTTGGATTGGGATGCAATTTTCAGACTTCTGTGTCTCAGAAGCTGGACTTTCCTTGTGTAAGGATATTGTCAAGGGTAAACCCCAAGGCACACTCCAAGGGACACTGGTAGAAATGATTTGGTTAGTAAAGGGAGCCCCAGATTTAGAATCCAAAGTTCTGAGTTTCAGCTTTATCTCTGTTAGCTCTGTGGTACTGAGCAAATCTCAACCTCTCAGCTTCAGTTTATTAATAGTAACATCTAATAATAATCCTGCTAGTTACCCTTATTTCCCCATTTATAGATGAGAAAACAGAGGTTAGATATTTAGTGGGTCAAGTATGACCCACTCTTGATTTCAGCTCAGGTCATGATCTCAGCATTGTGGGATCAAGTCCCACATCAGGCTCCGTGCTCAGTGCAGAGTCTGCTTATCTCTCTCCCTCTGCACCTCTCCCCATCCCGCTGTGTTTTCTCTTTTTCTCCCTCTGTCTCTCTCTAAAAATAAATAAATAAAATCTTTAAGAAAAAGTTTTTTAAAAAGTTTAAAAATAAAAAAGAAATAATAAGAAGAAATAGCAGTTGGGACTCAAATTCAAAGTCACAGAGAATGCTGTGACCAGTAGATTTTGAAAATTATATATAATTATTATATATATATATCTATTTCCAGTTTTCTCTCTGCTGTGTCTACTGGGATTTTCTTAGATTGAAATGGTTAGGGGCTAAGTGATAACCCCAACATATCCCTAGCCAGCCATGAAATGCGGAACCTATCACTGAGCCACAATTTTTTTATCTGATAAAGAAAGAAATGGACATTCTCCCCAGTGCTCAACTTGAAAACATGCATCTGGGAAAGCTAGCTTTCTCTGTCTTCCTTTACCCTGACACATTCAGATTCTGGAATCACCTCTGACCAGGGCTGGCTTATGGAGAATCCTGAAGGAAATGGATCTTGACTGAGGAACGTGTCAGTCCTTGATATTTTCTAAGTGCAGATTTTTCCAAACTTATGTGATCATGGAACAGCATGTGTGTGTGGGGGGGAGGGTGGGTGTATGGTTTTTCTCAGGGAACAGTTTTTCAGCATCATGGCACTGTAGGAAATGCTGTTGTCAATTCTCCTCTCTTCGTCTGGCATCAGTCTGAGGAGTCAGTGCCCCTCACTCGGGGCTGCTGCAGTAGAGGGGTCCCTGCAGTAGAGGGGCTGAGAAAAGACTTCTTGCTTGGCTCCCATTCTCTGTAGTTTCCGTTACTATCTCTTTTTGCCAAAGATTCACAGATCTATATGTGTGATCCGAGTTCTCATTGAGCTCCACGCAGGTACCTGCAATCCAGTACACAACATTCAGCTTAAGAAGCTGGGCATTCTCCTGCTGAAACCTGCTCCTCCCCTATATTCATCATCTCAGGGAAAGGCCCAACTAACCACCCTGTTGCCCAAGTCAGGTATCCTCTTGGGCCACCCACTGTCCCACATCATGGCATATTATCAACCCCCAAGTCCTAGAAATTGTACCTTTGCCTCAATATTTCTCAAATAGGGCAACTTCTCTCCAACTCCAGAGCCACACACTAATCCTTATCTCTCACCTGTTTCACTGCATCCCAGCCTCCTTCAAGATCAACTTGGATGTTTTCTCACTCAGCCCCGACAATGAAAGCCTTCTAAAAATGATAATTTAATCATGCCATTCCCTGGCTTATGACTCTTCCATGGTTTCCCCTTAGGTTTTTGGTTTTGTTTTGGTTTTGTTAAGTAAGTTCTACACCCAGTGCGTAAGAAGTGGTCCCCTTGTGCCGAAGACTCGTAATTTCCACATGAAAGTTATGACTCTCTTATTAGGGTTCTATCTTCTTTGAGCTCAAGTGAGGATGGATACATGAGAACCCACCAAGATTGTATGACACTGTAGCATGGACGAAATGGGCTTTCTTGACCTCCTCCCTTAGCTCAGAGAGAGCAGGGTGACAGGTTTCTCTGCAAACACAGTTACTCTCTGTGTTGTCTGAAGCGGCTGTGAATTCCTCTCCTGACCCCACATCCAGCCTTGACTGTGCATCTACTTTCCCTCTCATCCATCAGCAAAGGAATGCACTGTCCAAGGACAAGAATCAGGAACTTCTAGCTCATTGTGTAGCATCCCCTTCACTTCTCCTCAGAAGGAATCTAAATCAGAGTGACAAGAGGCTCCTTTTGCAGGCCAATTCACTCCTAAGCCTCAAAGAACAAATACGTCAGGGTATGGCCATGCTAACATGGGGTATCCCGTGCCCCATAAGGACAGGCATCCTTCATAAGCCTGGGAATAATGTCATTGACAAGTGTTGATTTGAGACCCAACTTATAGATGACAAGTCAGTTATAGAGATTTTTTTAAATGATTTTATTATTTATTTGACTGAGAGGAGAGAGAGAGTGTGAGCGCACAAACAGGGGGAGTGGGAGAGGGAGAAGCAGGCTCCCGTGCTGAGCAGAGAGCCTGATGTGGGGCTCGATCCCAGGACTCTGGGATCATGACCTGAGCTGAAGACAGACCTAACTGACTGAGCCACCCAGGTGCCCCAAGATTTAGAGGCCTAAAAAATACAGTGCAGGTAACTGTGACACAAAATCATCTATAGAAGCTGGTCACCCCAGAAGTTGTGGCTTTCTCTAAATACTCCCTCCTTATTCTTCTCTCTGTCAGGGCACACTAACTGTCCTTGGCTTTACAGGGCATAAATTAATCCAACTGTGAGCTCCCTGTTTTTGTGTATCTTTCCAGCAGGGAAAGTAAGGGAAGCTAAATTGAAAAGGTCTAGTTAAAAAAAAAAGTTGTGCGTGTGTGTGTGCATGTGTGAGTGTACATATATAGCAGCAAAATTCTTCATTCAAATAAAGCTTAAAACGGAACAACCATAACTCATATAGAAGAAAGCAGAACTGCTCAGAGAACACAGGGGTGGGGCTCGTCCTGCCCCCACATTAGTGGCTTCTTGACTTCTTTGCCCAACCCTAAGGATCAAAAAGCATTGGTCCAGAGGGCCTGGCTCCTGGTTCCCTTGCCGGTGTTGGGGTTTGTTTTCAGTTGTGGGCCCAGGGCTGTGACCACTCCAGTCCTGCAGCCCTCACTATCTTGGAGAAAATGTCATTGCCATGGCTCAATGGAAATAGGAAGCCGGTTCCATACCCCACAGCTCCTCTTCCCCATTTGGGAGGCTGGGAGTTGTGGCTTCCTGCAGAAAGGATAATGGGGAAATGTTTTTGTTCAGCTGACAGCAATTGTACTGGCCACAAACACCCTGAGGCTACCTTACCAGATTTGAGGCTGTGAACTCATAGCAGGTACCATGTGGGACTGGGGGCTAGGGCGGGATGTCAACAGCCCTGCGCACCGTGATACATTACACTCACTCCTAGACAAGTCTAGCAAAATGGTAATCCTACAGGCAATTCTAGCATACGCCAGGGGAGCTCCTTCTGGTCCGTGGGCAAGGAGAACAACCAGAGATGGTAGGTCGTGTGGTATAGAGGACTGAGGCCTGGACTCCAAAACAGAAGTGATGGATTCTTTTTTTTTTTTTTAAAGATTTTATTTATTTATTTGAGACAGAGAGAATGAGAGACAGAGAGCATGAGAGGGAGGAGGGTCAGAGGGAGAAGCAGACGCCCCGCTGAGCAGGAAGCCCGATGTGGGACTCGATCCCGGGACTCCAGGATCATGACCTGAGCCGAAGGCAGTCACTTAACCAACTGAGTCACCCAGGCACCCCGGAAGTGATGGATTCTAGTCTTTGTTCTATAATTACCCAGGGAAAGTCCACTTAATCCCCTAAGGGCTCACTTCCCTGTCTGTGAAAGAAAATAGATGAGGCAATCCACACATTCTCTCTGGGCCTTAAACATTCTGAACATTTATTACTTTAGAATATCAAAAATGAATTCCTAAAATGTAGTTTTGGGTATCATCTGGGACTGAAAGTGGAGCCTTCTAGTTCTTATCTAGCCTTCATGTTCTTATTTAGCAGCAGAAGGGAATAAGCATGGCATTTCGCCCTTTACGAGAGAAAGGCTAGGTTCACTGAGTTCAGGTAACTTGCCCAAAGCACACTGCTAGAAAGTGGCAGAGCCTGAATGAGAAACTTGCCCATGATACCAAAGCTTGTTCACCTTTCCAGCTATCCAGCTTCCCCCAGAGCTAATATGACGTTCTAATACTTGCTGCACCTGTGGATGATTGAAAGCTTACAATGTTTACTTTCACCAGTAATACCATAAGGTGATCTCTCAATACTTTTCAGGTTTATATAAGAGGAGCAAGAAGAGGGCAATTCTCCCTTCATAAAGCAAAGCCTGAGAATGTTTTCAGACAACCAGCATAGACTCCTATATGCCGTTTCCCAGCCAGGGTTTTGAATAACCTCCATGAATGGTGAACATAATCTCTTTGCTTAAGTCAGAAAAAAAAAATGCTTCAAGAGAAAGGTTTAGGCGAAACCTATTTGTACCCTCAGGATTGGGGAAGCATAATCCGAGGGACCAGAGGCAGGCAGCATCTGAATGTATGTTGCTGACGTCAGGTTCTTTACTCTGAAGTCAACTCAGCTCTTTAGAATTGCACAGAGCA